GTAAACAAAAAAAAAAACAAGAACAAAAAAGAATAAAAAAAAAAAAACCAAGAAACCAAAAGGTGGGCGGGATGCACCTCCCCAGGTCAAGGGACATTGGGGATCGGACAGCGTTTCCTTTCTCCCGTCTCGACGAAGACACTAACGGTCGTGGTATCGACAATCTCCTGAGCGACGACAAAGCCGACGACGGCGAAGAAGAAGGACGGCGGAGGAGCCCATTTTGATTATGAAGGGGTTGATGGTTTGTTGGAAGATGTAGCGCCGGGCTGGAAGGCGTTGCTGAGTAGCGACTGGAGACTGATGCTGAGAACTGAGGCTGATGAGGATGAGGATGAAGAGATCTAAAGGTAAGACGGGCACGCTTGAGGCTGAGCTATATAGTCCGAGTCGGAGGGCTGGCAGAACAGGTCATCATGCACGATGGAAACGACATCATCGTCACTCGGTATGGGCCGCTGGCGTGCCCTGGTGTGCTCTGCGCGGACAGACGTATGCCAGGCGATGCCACGCCGGCGCCCAGGCGTTGGTCGGCAGCAGGGCACGTTCAGACCCAGTAGAGGGACGTTTGACGATGGGGTACCATTGCCAGGGGCCAAATCAGGATGCTGGCAAAGCTGCTCTCAGCCGGGGGGGTTGGGTTTCCTGCTCCATGCTGCAGCGTGGTGGACAAGGATGTGGGGTCAGATAGACGTCAGCTTCCACGCTGCCACGGCACGGCAGGCAGAAGAGCACGGCTGGGGTTTCTCTCGGTTCACAGCATCTCGTTGGAGGACGTGAACGGCCGAAGGCTGGTAGTGGCATGGTAGCAGGGCCCTTGGGGGTCCAGGGTCGATGCTGGGCACCGTCAGACAGACAAGGGTTGGCGGTCAGGGCCCGCATGGGCGACATGGCGGGGTGGAAACAAGAACCGACAGACCACAGAGAAGAGGGATCGCATCATGGGTCGGTAAGCAGGAAAATCCATAGCATCGCAATGGCGTGCGTGAGGGCCGGCCTTTCGTTCGTTCGTCCGTCCGTTGGCGCGGCCGAGTCACGAGTGAGAAACAGGATGAGGCTGGAAAATCAAGAAATTGCAGAAACGGCGGCTCAGACCAACAAACGGCGACAAGGCCTAGTCTAGCTGGAGACCCTGCAGTGACGGCAGTTCTCCAAATGTGATTTCCTGCTTTCTGGCTCATTGCGCCAATTTCTGGTCCCCTCTGGTCTCGGCCGTCGGCACCGTTTCCGAGAACCCTTCTTTGATGCCGTCCCGCCATGTTGACATTGATGGCAACGAGGGCTTCACGGCGAGGAGGGGCAATGCGCTACGTCACTGGGCCCAAGAGCAAAACAAGGATCGTGGCCCGGTTTCCCAGCTCTCACCTTCGAGCCGCCACCATTTGCCCAACCATCACAACACACCAGCCACGCCCCTGCAGCTAGATGGGGCTGACGACGCTCGGCAAGCCACATGCATTCAATCGATCGCTTCATCGTGGTCCATTAGAAAGAAGCCTGAACACCACCACCGCCATCCGTCACAACACACCGCCTGCCCAGGGCCTGCTGTCGCCATCCGCCTGGGCGCCATCACATCATGCCCCCCGGTGTTTGTGTCTCAGAGTCCGGCTATTTGGCCTTGGCCGCTTGGCCCTACGACTGAGGGCGTGGCAGCAACCTGTGTCCGTAATCAGTAGGCCAGCAAGCATCACAACGCGTGTCGTCATATTGAGCACAATCATCAAACATCATATCTTTTTTTTTTCTCTTTCCCTCCACCAGAGCTCCTACATTCACTCGACGTTGGCGAACAGGAACGCCGGACTTCCTGGCAGCGCGCTCTCGGCGTTGGCCGGCATAGCCGCCTTGTCGATGAGCACACGCCCGTCACCACGTCCGTGCCGTTGCCGCCCTCCTGTGC